GAAGGGGGAGAGACGAGGGAAGGGGGCGGAGACGACTGGAAGTCGCCGCGGCAACGGCGTCACCCGCGTGTCACGGTCGTGACGTCACCCCGGGGTGCATGACGTAATCCGAGGAGCGCCCTCGCGCCGTCGCCCGGGGAGGGTTCCCGCCCCTCCAACCACGCTCTTGCTCCCACGTTTCCTCCGCTCCACCGTTTCCATGGCTCCGATTTCCTACTTTCTCCTCATCTCCGACCGCAGACTGTTCTGTAATGTGGGATTTACTAGAAAAGCAGGGGTGGTGTTGGAGGAGAAGTTGAAATCCTAGAGGGAGGAAGGCGGGGAAGCCCATAGTACTTGCTATTTCTATTACAACGACGTCTTGGAATCATAAAAATAAGACCTTAAGCCCCAAGGTTGAAACATCCAAATAGAATTTGATAGAATGTACTTAGGGACAGCTAAGTTAGCACCATGGTGTTTGTATCCTTTTAACTAAAGGATTGGGCCTTTTAAAGTGTAAATGGAAGTCTAAAATCTTTTTTTTTTTTTTATCGTTGAGGTTTTCTTTTAGTTTATTTTGTTTTCCAGAATCATTCATTTAGCAAATATCAACTGACACGTTCCATGTGCTGGGGGCCTGTACAGGGCTCATGGCATTCTAGACATCAGAAGCATCAAAACGAACCTTATTTATTTATTTATTTATTTATTTATTTTGGAGAAATTCGAAATGTTTTGTACGTTCTGTGCCTTTCTTTCATGAACAGACTATTCTAAGGCATTCTGTGCAAAATATGCAAGAAAACAACTGAGAGAAGAGGTAAGTTCTCTTTGAGAAGCCCAATTACACCATGGATTTAGTTCAAGAAACTCAATTCATTATTAAAAATATATTATCTAAAGAGAAGGGGGAATAATTGGGAAAAAAAATTGAAGGGAGAAACAGGAGTGAAAAACATACTAGAAGTTATTGTGGTGGGCTCTCGATGGTGTGCAGTTAATCAACAAAGTGACTAATTAGGAAAAGCTTCAGGGGACTCTGCTTTTTTGTACTTCCCAGGAGTGGGGGAAGTCACCAGTGATCTTGTTATTGTATTTAGGATGATTGGAGAGATAGAAAACTGTCCTGCTGACTTCTGAAACAGGATGTCTGCATATTGATAGTGTCACCATGAGCCTGGGAACTGATGCTTACTCTCAGGGTAAGGAGTTATATGTGAAGCTGCTTGATGAATCAGAATATTCACATACTTCTACATTGAAAAATACAACCTATCAAATGAATATGGTATGCTTGAAAACGTCAACTTCATTGTACGTTTTTTCCGAGTAGGAAAGTTTCCCTAAATCTAAATCAAAGGGTGACTTGGCATGGGCCAGCCCGTGGCTCACTCGGGAGAGTGTGGTGCTGATAACACCAAGGCCGTGGGTTCGGATCCCATATAGGGATGGCCGGTTAGCTCACTTGGGAGAGTGTGGTGCTGACAACACCAAGTCAAGGGTTAAGATCCCCTTACCGGTCATCTTTGGAAAAAAAAAAAAAAAAAAAAGGTGGCTTGGCAAATGTAGAGTAAATGAAGATGACCATAAGGGATAATGTCATCCAGCTATACTAATCTGAAGCATCCTTCTTTACTGAAGGACTTCTTTATAAGCAGACTAAAATAGCGCCATCAGCTATTTAGTGGCACCCTTTCCCCTTGACTTCATGAGAAACACAATTGGCAGGGTTTTGTGGGGTTTTTTTTCTCTAATTGTCCTGTTTAATTTTTAAAAAATTAACCCCTAAAATTATTATATCATTTTAACACTTCTGTATAACATTAAAAGCCCTAAGATTTTTTCCCCATTGGTTGCATTTTAAATAATAGCCTTATTTATCAGCATCAATCTGTAGATCCTGTCTTACATGATTATTTCTCCACAGAATGACTGATCTCATCAATTTAATATTGATTTATGTTAGCTTCCATTTGTCAACATGTTCTGACCTTGTTTTCAAATTCTGGGTATATCCCACAGTATTCAGCTGAGAAACAGCAGAGAAAGCATAAACTTTAAAGCCCAAAGATCAAGATTTTGGTGTCAGCATGCCACATTTTGGCCATATAATCTCTATGCAGGTATCGCTATTGCTTGTTGTTTTGGGGGATTTTTAACCTATAAAATAAAGGTGATAATAATGCCGGTCCAGCCTACCTAACTGTATCATTGTGAGAATCAAATATTATAGTTTTGTCATTTGCAAGTTATAAAATTACCCTCTCAGAATTCAGACAAAGCATAGCAAAGTGGCTTATATCTGCTTCATGATGTCTTGGGCCGCAGCTGGGAAGACTTAATGTCTGGGAGTGTCTCAATGGTTGGGGACTTGTGGAGGCATATTTAGTGACATGGCTGGTGGTTAAATCTGGGACCCCAGCTGGGACAGACAGTCAGAATACCTAAACATAATCTCTTCATGTGGCCTGAGCTTCCTCCTAGTATGGCTGCCTCAGGGTAGTCAGACTCTTTACAAGGCAGTTCAGGGCTCCAAATGCTAGTGTTGCAATAAGTAAGTTGAAAGCTATATTATATTCTATTAGCCTCCAAAGTCACACAGCAACACTTCTGCTGCATTTTTTTGAATAAAGGTAAGTTATTAAGTCCAGCTCAAATTTAAGAAAAGGGGATATTGATAGAAGTGCCAAAAAATTTACAGACATGTATTAAAACCACTGCACATCATGTGTAGAATAATGAACTGGCTATTCACCCTCACCTTCTCCCAAGAGGATTCTATACCCAATCAGATTCTCTCCCTTTATTACTGGGAATCACCCAGATGTATCTCAGTTTGCTAATGAACAAGCACCCATCTTCATTTTTCAGTTTCTGAGGCCTCCACTGTATGCAAAATTAGATGCAGGTCCTTTTTTATTGGGCACAGTCTGTCTCCTCCTAGGCACTTCCTCCATATCCCAATGCTGCCATAGGCAGTGTTGATGTGCTGAAACCTTCTACACAGAACAGTGTTCCTGGAGCCTGTAATAGCCAAGCCAGTTTGTGCTCTCAGCACAAACAGAGAGAACACTTCCTTTATGTGTTGTAGTGTGCCATATGGGCATCAAAGCAGTTTTACTTTGCATTCTAAAGTCCTACAGACATTTTAGTCAACACAGTTCTTTTAGGTTTTACTCACAATCCCTTTTTCCCTAAGGCATTCACGTATTCACAGGAAGCTAGGAAATAAATCTAGGTGAGAGGCACTGCTCAGAACCATTGCCCCAGTTGATGACTGAGACACTATTAGAGCTTTGCTGCTATGTCTGACCCTTTATTTCCGGCTGGCATTTCTATCTCGAATCCTGCATTCTGATAGACACTGGAGAGTCCAGTGTCTGGTCCCACATTAATGTGGTCAACTACTGGAAAACAAGTAAGGGGCCTCTAGGAAGCTTCTACAGCTCCAACCAGCTTCAATGATGTGTAGCTGATCATAGTATAGTGTTGTTTTTTTTAATGAATTGAGGTCATCATTATGAATAACACATCCTATACTGTTTAATAGAGAACTATTCTCAGGCACTATTTAGGTGTGAAGATAAAATAGAATCATAGAATTGATTTAGCACAACTTTCCCAAGGAGAGACACTTGGAGTTTCCTCTGAGGAATTCTAGACTCTGACCAAATAGTTCAGTGATGGGGACCTCACTAACACAGGACATTCAATGGTAACTATTTGTTTCTGAAGTTAAATTGAAATCTTCCTCATTATGACATCTATATTCTTGTCTGAGTTTTGCCTCCTAGAGGAACAGAGGAGAAGTCTATTTCTTAGTCTATGTAACTACTTTTGAATATTTGAAGAGAGATCTGTTTCCTTTAGTTCTCTCCGCAAAGCATTTTCTCTTCTTTCTGTGTACGCTTTTCAATGCTCCTCTTAAAACATAGACCCATAAATTGAACACTGTTACAGATTTTGTCTAACCAACAAAGAATAGAATCTCCGACTGCAATAACGTAGTGACGGTACTTCTGTTAATATAATCAAGATCATACAAGTGTAAGCAGCTCCACCCCATTATTGGTATACAGGAAGCTTGTGGTCATCAAAAACCTTTGTTTTTTTTTTAAATGAAGTGCTATTGTTATTAATAAAGTCTAGATTTTCAATCTTTTCAGCAATGTTGTCATCTCCCTAACTGTCATCTCACATTTCCAAGACTTTCTAATTTTTGCTCATGAAGGAAAACCTTGCTTCTAAATTTATTAAATTTATTAAATATTATATTTCTAATATTTAACACATGATATTTATATCAGAATATTATTTTATCTTGCTTATACTAC